CCATCACCAGCGCCTCTCCTTCTTCCAAGACCTCTGCCTTTGGACAGTTATGTAGGTAATTAGGACATGCCATGTGGGAGGAGGAGTACTGTCAGGGTTATGTTTGGTTTCTCTGTGTTTTTGTTCCTGTGCCTTTGTTACTTGAGTTTCATTTCAGTTTGACCTTAATTACTCACTTAGTCACTTTAGTTTTCAATTAGCTCCACGTGTCTCGTTTAGTCTCTCTCTCTCTCTCTCTCTCTCTCTCTCTCTCTCTCTCTCTCTCTCTCTCTCTCTCTCTCTCTCTCTCTCTCTCTCTCTCTCTCTCTCTCTCTCTCTCTCTCTCTCTATCTATCTATAAAAATTATATATATATATCATATTTCTTCTTTTCATAATGAAATCTTTAGAATTAGCTGGTTTCCACTGAACTGGTTTTGGGGGGAAAAAATCACGCCTCACAATCACATTGTTAGCTTAGCAATATGTATTGATATATATTACTAAATCCATTCTCAAAACCTCTAAATTTGAGGTTTAGAAAAAAAGAGCATGCTCACATACTGTTGTGAATGCGTTCTTGTGTCAGTAAGACACATGGAATATTTGCCGTCTTCTGACTGATGAGCAGAGCTCATGTACACGCGTTTCACAGTTTCCACACAACTTACTGTCAGGAAGATGAACAGCTCAGTGATCATCCACGCACAATCACTCCATCTCACGCAAAATCAAGCACTTTATCTTTAATCACTTCCCTGTCATTTTATGTCATGTGTTCACGGATATCATATTTTCTAATCACCTTCTCACTTAATCATTTTTCTTTTCAATATCAGTAGATTAAAGATAAATAAACTGCATTGTCGGAAGCAAAAATAAATTCTTAAATTGAACAAAGGCATTTAAAGCATTAATAATTGAAACTCATAATCACTTAAAACAAATGACAAAAAAACAGAATAGTTTTGTGACAAAATTAAACATGCAAAAGCTAAAAACGAACCTCAGAAATGAGTGATTTGGAACATTATGGCTGCATTTTATTAGCACTACTCACATGCAGAAACATACATGCAAGCACTGGTTTCAAAGGAAGCAAATATAGATATGTAGCTAAGCTAAAGAATTTATATTGTAAGCATGAATATACAAAACACACTAAATATCAGGCAAAAATAGTCAACTTTTCAATAAAAGTTCAATAACAAATAAATTGCACTACTGTTCAAAAGTTTAATGGTTTGAAAGAAGGCTACATTTATTTAGTCAAATACAGTAAAATTATGATGTATTATTAGAATTCAAATAGCTTTTTTATGTGAATATATTTTAAAATGTAATTTATTCCTGTGATCAAAAGCTGAATTTCAAACTGCAGTCTTCAGTGTCACATGATCCTTCAGAAATCACTCTAGTAAGCTTAAGAAAACATTTATGATTATTATCAATGTTAAAAATAGTTGTGCTGCTTCATATTTTTGTGGAAAGTGATAAAATTTTTTTTCCTGGAATATTTGATGAATAGAAAGTTCAAAAGAACAGCATTTATTTGAAATATAAAATTATTTGAAACATTATAAATGTCACTTTTGATCAATTTAATGCATCCTGGCTGAATAATAAAAGTATTGATTCCTTTTCAAAAGATCTTATTGAGCCCGAACTTTTGAACGGTAGTGAAGAGTTTGCAATTGTCAATCCTCTTATCCACCATCTTGTTTTTTCTTTTTTTGTTGCATAAAATACATGCAGGCCTTAGAATTTGGCCAAAACTGAGAAATGAGAAAGGTTTTTATTAATTATGAAGGAAATAGCAGAAATAACAGTAGAATTGAAATCTACAGAGAGAACATATTCATATATTTGTGTAATAATATTTATTATAGCATAGTCTTTAGTTTACATGTAGCAGACAATTGCTGAAAAACATATTATTTAATTTTTAACCAATATTTTTTAACCAAAAACAAAATTCTAATATTTGCAAACAAATTTGTCTTGATGCTGTCATGAAATAAGAGCTACTGTGCAATTCTTTCCTGTAGTAAACCACTGTCTTTTCCTCTGCCCTCCTTTAAAATGAAGAATGGCCTAAAATTAAATTAGCAGCATCCCAGCTAACAGGGAACGTTCTCTGGGTGTTCTGCCAAGGTTCTCTCAAAGAAAGTTATTAACAAACGTTCTTCCAAACATCCAAAAAGATATCTGGCCTCAAACGTTAGCACAAACGCATTCAAGGAAGGTTGGTTTACCCTGAAAGTTTATCTGGACGCTTGTCTAACGTTTTTTTTTTTTTTTTACTTTTGTTTCAAAACATTCAGAGAACGTTCAAAAGTAACATTCTCGTAACTTTAGCAAAATCACAAAATGGAACATTCCCTTAATGTTTTCGCTAACGTTTGCATAAATACGATTTTTTTTTTTTTTTTTCATTTTGAATGATCAGATAACATGCAGAAATACTATATTATTTCTAAATGGGAACGTTATCATAACATTTTTAGAGCATATTTTTTGTTAGCTGGGATATCACTCCCAGCCCGACACACGGACGCGTGGCGCGTGTGCGTGGAGCGGATGCATGGATCACATGGCTTTTGTCTGGGAGGAGACAGATATATCTGCTGGAGCAGGGGAAGTTGGCTGGCGGTGTGAATTGGCTGCTTCTTAAGCCAGTTATCTCGGCGCTCCACACTGCTGGTGCTCTGCCAGCGCTCACAGTCCTGAGTGAGGAGGACATTAATGAGTCGTGGAGGGCTACGCCGCGGCACTCTCTCTCTTCTGCAGGAAAATCATGTGTGTTTGAGATTCCCTGATACTAGCTAACCCAGCTAACAATTTTTTTTTAACATTCATTCAGTCATTAATTACTCACCCTCATGTCGTTTCAAACCTGTAAGACTTTCGTTCATCTTCGAAACACAAATTAAGATATTTTTGATGGAATCTGTCCCTCCATTTACAGATACACAACTGACACTTTGACACTTCAAAAAGTCCATAAAGATCGTAAAACTAATCCATATGAATTGAGTGGTTTAGTCCACATTTTCTAAAGAGACTCATCGCTTTAGCCTATATGATGAATAGATTTATTATAGGCTTTTATTCACATTTAAACATTCATCAACTCACACATCAGTTGTGGTAAACAGAAGTTCAAGTTCGCTTGCTGTGCGAGAACCAATGAGGTTCATTCTCGTGTTACGCATCATGTTTGAGCTCCAGAAAGAGGTTTGTTCTCATGCATCAAGCAGGTTCGGTTGAGCTTCTGTTTATGTTCCTTGATAAACTGTATATGTTAAAGCAGCATGTGTTTTGTACAGCTAAAAATAACTGGAAGTGACACCAGAAGTCAGACCCATTAATGTCCCCCTGCATGTAGTCAATAATTGTATCCCTTAAAACTCATATTTGATCCCCAAAAGAATTTTGCATGAAAAAAAAAAAATCTTCATGCCTTAAAATATCTTGAATGTAACTCGACACCCTTGCCTCATTTCGTATACTCGGTACTATGAATATGCAAATGAGCCCCGCCTCCACTCACTCACAGCAGCTCAGAGATCCACTGGTTCACGATCACACGTTGATCTGATTGGTTACAAGCATAGACAGTAAAAGAAATGGACACAGCGACCCCGTTGATTTCAACGGAGAGAGTTGAAGCCCAACATGGGCACTCACTTCCTGATAGCCAAGCACTGCGCAGGCTCAAACTGAGCTTGACGACGTAGTTGTCACGTGAGCAACCGTTCTGACCTTCTAGTAGCTGTGCCGGGACAAATCTGAATTGAAATCTGAAACAAATCTGTTGTTGAAATATTTTGTCCCGTTGCTTTTATGAACTCTCTATTTATGGGCTTCTCCCTTGACTTTATGCCTCCATGTCCACCCGATTGCCTCATAGACAGTAAACGATTGCCTACGAGCTTCTCCTCCTGTCTATACGGTAATTTCTCTACTGTGCGACAGAGCGTCCCGTGGTTATGACGCAATCGTTAGCCTATTTTTACAAGAATGGCTTCTACGGGGCCGTAACGTAAGATACAAAGTAATGGAGCCTTTTATACATTGTCGTGTTTCTTTAGAAATAAATAATGGACAAATGGAGTCTTTAAACGCCTCAGATGTAAAGTTATTCGCTGTCAAAGTGACGCCAAAATGAATGGGAGTCAATGGGATGCTAACAGCAGGTGATAGCCAGCTACAATGGCGGCCCCCGGAGGCAGCTTCAACTTCCGGCCCTTGGTAGTTTGTGACGTCAGAAACACCAGCGATTTCAAACCTGTTTTTGAGACTGTCTTTGGTTCACTGCAGTTTTAAGCAGAAAATACTCAGCAATGCTGTCGACTTATGAATTTACACATGGTTTGTCTTAAAGCATATTAAAAATACCACATACACACACATAAACAACATTAAAAGCTGGGTTTTTACCACATGGACTTTAGGACTTTAACAAATGGTCGAATTCACTCTTAGCCTAGCCTACATTAAAAATAAGCTAATGTTTACAAAATGAAAACGGAATGCTTCTAAAAAAACGTTTAGAGAACAATAATAACAGTTTCTTGACCGTTATCTTAGAGCAGATTTGTGTTAGAGGCCTATGGGAGGCAGTGATGCTCGAGAATACAGTCTGCGGCTCGACACACACACACACACAGACACGCACAGCGAGGAAGAGAGACAATTCAGTCCACGAGACAGAGAAGGGAAACGCATCCGAAACGCTCTCATTCGCGCAGCCTCCAATCTACTTCTCTCTCTCACACACACGCGCGCGCGTGTTCTGGCACCAGGAGGCTCGCGCTGTATTGTTTCGGTGGATGGGTGGAGGTGTACACACACACAGAGCTGAGGATAAGGCATCACGCTGAGGGTAAGCGCTCCACATCTCGGCACTGACTCACACACAGGTGCTTTTTTCTCTCTTTCTTTCTCTATGGCGGCATCCTTTCGCTCCGCCTCATTGGTGCTCCCCCCCCCCCCCCCCCTCTCTCTCTCTCTCTCTCTCTCTCTCTCTCTCTCTCTCTCTCTCTCTCTCCAGGGCTGCCTGCCTTCAACCGTCCTCTGCTCTCTTCCTTCTCCTTCCTTCTGTCTGTCTGTCTCTGTCTCTCCTCTTCCTCCGTCTTCCTTCATCGTGTGAAGAATGATTAGCATACAGGAGGCGAGAGGAACTTTCCAGCGCGAGTGAGCAGGAGAGCAAGTGAGCGAAGGGAAGATCGTGGGAAAATAATCAGGAGCGATTGGAAAGTTTGAGCGAAGGCAGCGTTTCCACACTGGTGGGTCACTCGTGCTTTATCTTTCTGGCTGGCTTGCTTTACAGACTGAAGAGTTGAGCTCGTACACTGTGTGTTTTATTTACAGTGCACTTGTTATCGCCAGGAGCTATAGGCTATTATAGGCTACTGGATCTTAAGAATTAGCCTATAATAATATAATTATTCTAAAAACAAAGAGAGAGAAACATGTCGTGCTTTGTTAGATTAACAAATTGTATTCAGGTTGATTTAGTCATAATTAATAAAACATTTAAATAACAGCTTTTAACTTGATAATTTAGATGTTTAGGACAAAACATTTTTACAGTGTAATGATTTTCCTACTTGGTATTTTTTCTTGTATTCCAGTACAAATATCTAACAATTCTTAAGTCAAGAAGATACATTTTTGAGAAGCAAAATTACATATTCAGTCTTGTTTTCTGAAACAATTGTCACATTTAAGTGATATATATATATGCCAACAGGGTACGGATCATCATTTTGGTTTTCCTTTGATACATTTATTTTTCTTACCCCACTGTCAGATATATTTTTTATAAACAAGACTTGATATCTTATATCATTTAGCTTTTCATGTAAATGTATAAATGGTTATATGTTTGTACTGGAAAACAAGACCAAAACATTGAGTAAGAAAGTATGCGTTTTCTTGCAGTAGAAGTAACAGAATGTAAGGTTTTGAAACATTTGAAAGAGTGAAGTTCAGTTCAGAAGATTGTTTCTAGTAATTGTTCCTAATGCACTGCAGCTGATCTGTCCTACATCACGACTGTGTGCTGGACGTCTCTCTGCACATGCTGGATATCTGTGCTTAATGTGAATGTGGATGTGGTGAGTGAGAGGTAAACGTGTGTCTCAGGTCACGAGCTGTTGGGCTTTTTCTCCAGAAGCTTCTGTGGGCTAAGGCTTGGTTTGTTGTTTGAAATGGCATATGCTTCTGGGTTGGACTTACTGTAAGGCTGGACTATTCGACTCCCTCATTGTTAAGAGAGTTATGGAGATATAATGTGCGCTGCTGGGAAACTTCTGTTTTCTCGAGATGACTGTAGATAAGCTGTATCACATGTGAATGCACAGATATGCCTTTTAAATGCAGTAGCCATTTTTCCTTCATTAAATATCAGTTGTATGAGCGTTCCCCACCCCTGCCTTTATATTTTGAGTTATGGTTTTCATACTTTTGTTTCTTTAACTAAATCATATGTCAACACCAAACTCACTATAGTTGTTCCTGATATTTACAAGAAACTGCGGTAACACTTTATTTGACGGTGTCCTTGTTACACGTTACATGTGGTTACTGTAAATTATGCATAATTACATGCAACTAACCCCAAACCAAACCCCAATCCTAACCCTATAGTTAGTACATAGTTCATTATTATTACACAGCGCTTTAATGCATAATTACACTGTTACACGGAAACCTTAAATATAGTGGGTTACACTTTATTTTAAGGTGTCATTGTTACAGTGTAATTATATATTTAAGTACTGAGTAATATTAAGCAACTACATGTACTTACTATAGGGTTAGGGTAGGATTAGGGTTTGGTTGAGGGTTAGTTGCATGTAATTATGCATAATTTACTGTTATTACTATGGTAAATACATGTAACATATGCAAAAAGGACACTGTCAAATAAAGTGTTACCCGAAACAGCACATGTGAAGGGCATTTAATGTAACAACCCAGCTAACTTCTGTTTAGATACTTCTGTTCAAAGAAAAGTACTAATTTCTTCTATTCCGATTAACAATTTTCAATTTGTGATTCTGACTACAATAAAATGGTTCAGGTATTAATGAGAAATCTGTTAATCAGTAATTACAGCCATGTTCAGATATACGTTTTACAGACTTTTTTTTTGCATGTACTTCAATATGCATATCTGCAATCATCTGTGTTTCTAATACTAAATAAAATGGTTAATTAAGGCCAATAATACATGATCTACAAATGTTTGCATATTGTACAGTATCAAATATTATGTTTACTTTGATATGACAGTCAAGGCTCAAAATATTGATTGAAATCAATTCTTACGTCATGCATGTGCAGTGTCTCTGGTAGGATAGAGATTATTGTATAAATAACACATCCGGGATATGTATCCAAGTATAGATGTTGTGAAAGGCAGGGAGAGCATGCATGTGTGTGTGAACTGTGATTGAATTGAGGAAAGAGTCTTCATCTGATTCCATTATGCTTTGTATGAAATACTGTTTTAATTGCTGTAGGTGATCAGTTCAATACATATCAGCGAGAATATGAAACGTTCACTCCTATGTAAATCCTCTTATCGTTTCACACCCAGATGCTGTTCAATTTTCAAAGGAATTTTAAAGTCTTTGTGCATTTCAGTTCCACACAGTATTTGGAGGAACAGATCATCAATGCATAATGACTTACATATCAGTGTATTGCTCACATTAATCTATCTACAAAGATTGCTGAATGGACTACATATATTCCACTTTTATGGCATTTTCATTGACAGATGTGGTCCCTATGAATCATCACTTAAATACTTCAGGATGTCTAAAAGATCTCAAATAACAATCCCCATAGATTAGAACAAAAGTAAAAGAGGCAATTTTGTTTAAATGGTATTTTCATTGTGTGCAGAACACATGCAGACTTGCTTTACTGACTGCATATTATTGTGTTTTATTTTTTTTATATATTTTTTTATTACATTTTTTTTTGCATATTTTTAAAACACTTCACAATGAACATTAAGGTCTCTTCGGTGGTGTAAAGTATTTGAGTAAATGTAATTAGTTACTATACACTTACGTAACTTTTTGGCTACTTAGTACCGAGTATCAAAGCTATTAGCAACTTTTACTCTCTCTACTTGAATACATTTTTGAACAAGTAAATGAAGAGTTTGGTTCCAAAACGCAATAAATCCATTTAGATAAATTTGAGTAAAAATGTGTTTTCTTTACCAAGAAAGTGGAAAGATGAAAACCACTATTTTCTGTTTCAAACTTTCACATAGCATTTGTAGGTCATAATAAAAAAATAATAAAAAAAAATAAAAAAAATTAAATCCAGGTTTTGATTTTCAAAGATTTATTATAAAAAAGGATTCCCCCGCCCCCCCAAATGCAATAAATCCATAAAAAATTAAAATAATCAAAATGCAATTAATCCATTGAATCAATATATATAAAAAAATGTTCATATTGAAACTGTTGAAAATACACAACAACGTAAGTTTATTAGTATAATATCTTTATTAAGAACTGTAAAGAAGATTGAAAACATTTTTCCTCCTCCCGAGTGCCTCATCTTCTTAATCTCCTCACGTAAATGATTCGATTTCGATGCCTTACGTTTCTCACCCGCCGCAGAAACAACCACAGGTTCATCAATGCCGTCAAAATTATTCATTTTTTTGTTTGTTTGTTGATCGAAAAGTACAAAATAGATAAGAAAATCTAGGAAGCCGGGTGTGTTTAAGGCGCTGCCGTTACTGTTTACATTGCGTGGAATGGTGCGTTGTGATTGGTTGAGAGCGGATATATCGCATTCTGCAGAGAAGGGAGACTGGCGTTTGTCGCGGCTTGGAAAGAAAGGGAGAAAACATGACAGAATAACACGGCGGATATCGCATTTTACTTGAAATTAAACATTGACTTTTCAATACCAACCAGATACAATACTGATTTTTGCAGTAACTAATTTTTTTTTTTTTTAAATGGCATTTATCGCGTTTTGGAACCAAACTCTTCATATGTACTCTTTACTCCAATACATTTGTGATGAGTAATGCAATCGCTTATTATATTTTGCAATGCACCTAACTTTTTCTGCAGCAGTTTATTCCTGCTACAAAAGAAGTGATATCGCCATCTTCAGGGCATTGAAGGTACTACTTGTGCGTTTTGCCCTTAATCCGGGTTCACACTGTACGCTACGCTTTCAGCCAAGATTTGGCCGTCTGAGACAAATTTTGCAAATCCTAAAAGATTCCTCTGATCCTTGGCTAAAATCTGAAGTCTTTGATCGTTAGTTTGACATGTTCACCGTTTCAGTAAAATGTTTACCTCTAGATTTGACTCTCAGTCCTACTTCTACGAGGACATTTCTCAAAACAAGCCATGACCAAAATGAACTTTAGAGATTTCTTTGTAGCCACCATTTTGATGTAATGCACCGTCACAGAACGTGTCATTGATTGCTGATGTAAAACTCCGGACGAGTTTTCTTGCATTTGGATTGACCTTGACTGTCGTAGAGTCTGACATTAATGGCACCTGAGATCTTACAGCGTGACATGACTTACAGTGAGGATCATGTTCGTAGTCTGACAAGCAACAATCGTAAAGCATTACTATAAATGTGCATCTGGCTTCACTCGCCTTGAATGTGAGTGCATTAGCAGGTATTTGCTGAATTACAGGTGTTTCATAGCTAAATGAGATGAGGACATGAGGACAAACCAGCATGACTATGTAATTTTATTTGATCAACATTATTTAATTTATCCGTCATATTGAAGAGACCTTTCTGGCAATAGATAGAGGCAGACTGTGATAAACTCATTTCAAAATAGATGCATTTCACACTGTTATTGAACTGAACTGAATCAACACTGAACTGAATAAATACACTATTGTCTTTACTGCAGAGTTTGAATTTGTCTCATACTTGAAGTTTGCATTTTTGATCGTTATAAACCTGTTTATTACTGTGAAGCTGCTTTGAAACAATCCACATCGTATACGATGCCATATAAATAAAGGTGAGTTGACTTGAATAACGTCACCATTTACGGTATTTACGGCTCTGCTGACGGACCGATGGCTGATCTTTATTAGGCGTGAAGGCCACATAAGTAATTTGGATCATGATTGATACGTGTGACGTTCATACGTTCTGTGCGAGGAAGAGCCATATCTAGGCATGATCTATATCTAAACACTGAGGCCAATTAAAAGCCCATCCTGACTGGAGCGAGTCTGTAAGCGAGAGTGTGAAGCAG